AGCCCGCGCCCCGCTCAGCCTGGCAGCCCCGCGCCCTGAGCATCTCCCGGGAGGAACGGAGACAAAGGAGGATTCATGTCCAAAGGTAGGGCCGCTGGCCGGGCCACCGGCTCCCCCCGGGAAGAGGCTGCGGCCCCCAAAAGCCCGGCTGGAGGTGCCACCTGGGGGAGGGGTGCAGCGCCGAGGAGCCCACGCGCGGTGACATACGCGCGGACGCGCGCACACGCGGTGGCACACACCCCAAGGCACACATGCCCGGAGAAATTCACCCCGCGGGAACACCGGGAGATGCCGAGACCCGCCGACACACGGGTAGGGACCCAGGTGCGCCCAGGCCGCCCCACCCTGGAGCGCACGACGCGCGCGCTGGCACACCGCGCGCAGGTATCGGCCCGCACCGACGCGGGGCCTCCGCGCTGACTCCTAGACAGACCCCTTCCCCCCCGACGGGCACCAGCTGGTGGTCTCCTGGGGAACCCCTTGGCCGCCGGAGAACTGGGATGGGGGAAGGGGGTGTCCCGGGGCCCTTGGCTCCTGCGAATAGGAAAAGACTAAGGTATCTTTTGTGATTTTTTTTTTTTTTTCTGAGAGAGGGGGCTGGAGCCGAGGTGAACTGGAATCGCCTCTGCGGCTGGGGGTGGGGTTTGGGGGAAGATCTTCAGCTCCGGAAGGAAGGAAGAGCCTCCCTACCCCCCACCCCACTAAGCCTAGGAGGCAGGTGCTATTCCGGAAAGGTCTCCTCCCCCTAGTGCCACCTTCCCAGCTGAGGGGTGGGGTCCCTGGGCCAGACAAAGACAAAGCCATTCATTTGCCTCTAAGAGAAAGAGCCAGAGCCCTTGCCTGGCATGGTGACGGAGGCACCGTTTCTGTGGGGGACTCAGCCAACTGAGTCAGGTGGACAATGCCTCTCCCTTGAGCACTGATGGGCAGGTGGCTCCTGGCGGGGGTGCTGCAGACAGATGCCCCTCCTCTCCAGGGCCTGGGAGAGCTGGGAGCCTAGGAGGGGTTCCCAGGACCATTTAGGCAGGATGGCACACTTGAGCTGTGTCCCGCTGTGACCCCCCTTCCTGAGCTCTTCTCACCCTTGGGGAGCCAGCCCCTTTCAGTCCCCGTTGTGGGGGAGGAAGCAGGTCATTCCTAACAGAGACTACCCCCTTGACTATGGCCTACACGCACGAGCCCATTGCTGGCTGGGTGTCAGCTGCTCTGCTAGAGGAGCCTCTGAAGGAGAAAAGTGACATCTGCCTGGCAGTGAGGCATTCATTCATTCCTCATTCATTCCTCATTCATTCATTCATTCATTCATTGCTGAGTACCTGTGTTATGCTGGGTACACTGGGGCACAGAGATCAATGAGATATGGCCCTTGCCCTGAAGAAGGGTGGGAACTAGCATATGTTCAGTGCCAGGTAATTTATATCCATGCTTTTGTATAACCTTCGCAGCAACCCAGCAAGGTGGGGACTACTCCCATTTTCCTGAGAACAGTGAGGCTCATAGGGGCCACCTGCTAGGAATCAAGCCTGGGCCAACTCCCCATCTGGGATTGGCAGGTGGGACAGGGATGGGGTGGGGGGAATGTAGGGGCACAGGGTGGAACTACAGAATCTGGAGCAGTATTTGTCCTGCACCCGGGAGGTCTTTCTGTACTTGTCAGGTACCCTCACCAGAGAGTGGGCCCGCGGGGGCAATGGCCTTGTCTGGGGTCCAAAAGTGTCCTTGGCATTTATTCTAGGGTTTGGCTGGAGGAGGCCCCCATCTGACAGCATGTGAAATGCCCTGGCAGGCATGGATGGAATGTGTGACTGCGTGAATGAGATGAGTACCAAGGTGCTCAGGGGCCGAGGTGACACAGAAGGGCATCTACACCAGACGGGAAAGCAGAGGCTGTCCTGAGGGGTAGCCCTGGAGCCGATGGTGAAAGAAGAGCGGGAGTTAGCCAGGGCCTGGAGCGGGCAAGGGTCTTCCAGCAAAGGCTGTGGCACAGTGACCGCCCCATGTTGGCAGTACTTGTGGCTGTGGTTGTTAGCGTGTAACTGATGTGTAATTGGCATGTGTTTGGGGCAACTTGCCAGCAGGTGCTCTTTACAGTGAGCACAGTGGGTGTTAATAGGTGCTTGTAGGGAGAAGGAAGGTGACGTCTGCTCACCTGCAGGACCTGCAGCAGGCCTGCCGTAGCCCCTAGGAGTTGCCTGGGAATCCAGTAGGCAGGCCCCTTCTCGCGGCCAAGGTCTGTCTTTTGGGAATGCTCTTTGGGGAAGTGCAGTTGACAGGCCAGGGCTGAGCAGGCCATGGTGAGGATGTCCACTTTATAAGAATACTTAGAACAACTCACATAAATAAGTGTAAGACTCACTTTCCAGGTGTGTAAAAGGGGGTTACCCCCCCCCACAGACACACAGATAGATCTATCTCACAACACAGGTTGTGGAGAAAAAATGGGCTCAGTTGTAGAGGCACAAGGGAAACGGAAAGGACCAGCATGTGAGCAGCTGGGCAGGGAAAATGGGGCACTGGCCCCAGTGCAGGTGTGCCGAGAGGGCCAGAGAGCCACGTGTGGAGGGTGGGGGGCAGGACTGCGCTGTGAGAGTCAGCTGCTGCGGGGCTGAGCCAGTCTCTCTCTGCCAACCGCCTGGGAAGCAGGAGGGAGCCCAGCCAGGCCCTGGGGAAGTCCCGAAGCTTTGTCAGATTTGGCTGTGTCTGAGAGTGACAAGGAAAGAACATTTCCCATTGGGAGAGTTTTGCCAGGACCCGTGGTAGGACCAGGTGGTGGGATATGAGAACAGACTCCAGGCTGGGTTTGGGGGTGGGGGAAGGCGGAGCTCCCATCCCCTCTCCCATCAGCCCTGTAAGCTCAAGACTTGCAGGGCAGAAACCATGAACCATAGGATTCTAGAATGGCAGAGTGGAAGGGGTGCTCGAGAGAGTGTGGAGTCCAGTCACTGTACCGTGTAATTAGCATCTGGGCACCTCCCTTGGACAAGGTTTTCCACATGCACCACTTCATCTCCCCCTCTGACAAGTCAGTGAACTTGAAAGGGGCAGGGGCAGGAGGGGCTGGAACTATGAGGTGCTGTGTGGGTTCTTCTACCTAGCTCATGTAATGCTCACTGTAGCCTTAATCATGATCCCAAACAGCTTACAGATGAAGAAGTGAGCTCCTGGGGGGAGTGTCGCCCAAATCCACAGAGCTAACAAGTAGTGGAGTCAGGCTCTTCCCACTTCACACACACCCATTTTATGGATGGGAAAATGTGACTGCTATCCTGAAACCTAGCCTCGTGGGCAGTGGCCTGATGGGGAAACATACAGGTTTCTCTTGTGTGTGGAGATCCCCATGACCTGCCAGACCCAGGGGGATGTGTGCCTTTCCCAATGGAGCAGGGCAGTTCTCCAGCCTCCCCTTTCCTCTGCCTCCCACCACCCTAGGAACACACTGCCTCATCTCAGGCAAGTGACTGCCCCATCTGGGTCTCATCCTCTCCCCAGTGGTCAAACGGGGAGACTTATTTCTCCCATAGATTCAAAATTATAGCTAGGAGGGTGCCTGGGGCTCCTCAGGGCGCAGACACCGTTATTTGCAGCGATGCTCATGGCAGAGAGGGGACACTGAGGCTGGGAGACAAGAGTGACGCTCACTCTGCAGAGAGGGCAGCCCTGTGTGCTTCTAAAAGACAAAGCAACCCAGCTCAGTGACAGATTGTCAGTAGATGTCAGGTCCAGTATCCCACATAGTCTTTGCTCTTTATTTGGGGAGGCAGGACTCAGGTTGGAATAACCCTCGACATCTCTTAGACCAGGGCTTCTCCAGTAGGGCCATGTTGTCCCCAGGGGAGATATTTGGCCCTGTCTAAAGATCTTTTCGGTTGTCACTACTGGGGGACTATTCCTGGCATCTAGTAGAGGCCAGAGTTGCCACTGAATATCCTATAATGCCCAGGACAGCCCTCCACAATACTATTCTGCCCAGAATGTCAGTAGTGCCAAGAAGGCAAAACCCCTGGGTTAGACACACAGATGTGGTGCTTTGGAGCGTGAGTGCATTTGAAGTGGCCGCAGCAACTGGAGAACTGATTCATCTGACTGGAGAAATGTTGCATCTGACTTGCTCCGTGTTCTTAGGCAAGTCTTTTCCTCCAGGCCTCAGTCTCTTCACCTGTGAAATGAGGGACCCGTTCTGGATGACATCTAAGGTCTCTTCCAGTCCCCACTCTGTATGATTCTGTGTCAAGTGAGTAGCACTGTGGCTTCCATGTGACCTCTGCAGCTCATCCCTCCCAACTTGGCTTTGTAGGGCTCCCAGAGACCAGGACGGACGCAGCCATGTCAGAGCTGGTGCCCGAGCCCCGGCCTAAGCCGGCAGTGCCCATGAAGCCCGTCAGCATCAACTCCAACCTGCTGGGCTACATTGGCATCGACACCATCATCGAGCAGATGCGTAAGAAGACCATGAAGACCGGCTTCGACTTTAACATCATGGTCGTTGGTATGGAAGCCCATGGGGTCACTAGAGGCCCTGGTGTCAGGCAGCACTGAGGATCCCGTTTCTCTCCCAGGGATGACCTCAGCCCTGGCTTCTCCAGGATGAGCTCTTTCTAGGAGGAAAGGTTTCACTGTGCTGATCACAAAGGCCTGCCCCCCTTCTCCCCTTAAGGCTCACTGATCCAGGGGGGAGCTGTGGTGCATGGTCAGCTGGGCCCCATCACCAGCTGGGTGTACACAGGCAGCCTTTAGCCAGGCTCAGCCTGCTCTCAGGTGTGTGGCATGTGGCATCAGTGTCCTTCCCCACCTTCGAGAGCTGGGAGGAGGATTGGATGGAGGCTGGTCTCATTTCTGCCTTTTTCTAGTGCTTTGAAGCTTAGGGAGAATTTTTAGGACACTGATCGGTCACTAAGTAGTGTTGCCAGGTCATAGAATGATCTCAGTGACATATTCAGTCCGTTGCTGAAACAGGGACCTAGGCACCCTCCCCCTTCTTCCTTTATGTCCTGATCCAATCAGCCAAGTCCTGTCAGTTTTACTTGTAAATACCTCTCAAGTCTGTCTACTTCTCCCCATCTCTGCTGCTACTCCCCGAGGTCGAGCCAGGCCTCTCAGCTGGACTGCCACCGTCACCTGACTCAGTGCTTCGCAGAGAAAAGGAGCTGGGCCAGAGTGCAAACCATCTGTAAAGTCTTGCTATGAAAAACATCAGCTGTACTAAACAGCGTCCGTAGTGACATAGCTGACTTACTTTCTGGTGCAAACTTCTTAAGAACCAGTAACAAATGGTACGTGGGCCCTGGCCACAAGCCACGCTTTGAGTGGTATTCACCCTCCTCTGTCTACTTTCCTCTTTAATCCATTGTCCAAATAATTTTTCCAATCTGCAAAATTCATCAAGCCACCCATCAATAAGTGTAAAGGTTTAAACTGCTAGTCTGGCCTGGTACCACCTCTCCACACATCTCTTACCACCTCCCATGGAGAATTCTACTCACAAGGGACAGCTCCCCTGGATACTCTTGCCATACACTTTCCTACCTCTGAGCCTTTGCATATGCTGTTCCTTCTGTCTAGAAACCTCTTCCAGCTTCTCATGGGTCATTCAAAGTCACTCTTGAGCTTTCAGCTTAGTTTTTGCTTCTTCCTGGAAGTCCTCCTTGATTTCAGAGAGACTGGATTAGATTCCCTTCAGTATACTGTTATGACACCTCTTTCATAGTGGTCATGGCAACATATAATTGTCTGCTTATGTTTTGGTCTCTCTCACACTAAGGGTCCTTGAGGGTAAGGATGATGTCTCACTTACCACTCTACCTCTAATTCTAGCACAGCACTTGGCACTCAAAGATACTTAATGAACAAATGACCTTAGAAAACATCCAGACCAAGACATGTGGGCCACTTCTGTCCCCAGGAGCGCTGCTGCTGAGTCCTGACACGTGTGCAGTCTGAGCCCAGATGTAGCCTCTTTAATGTATCGGTCTAGGTGGCTACGACCAGTTGACCAGTTGGAATGAGAAATGCACCTCATTTGCCACCCCTGGTCTCATTCAGTCCCTTCCCTCCCATCACCTTATCAGTAAAGGAATTAGAGGGACAAACACGGCCATTGCTAGGCGGTCAGGGAAACAGCACAGTTGGGTCTAGTACATAGGCTTCTACCCCTGGACCCTTTCCCCACCTACCACAGGAACGCTCCAGACCAACACTTCTGAATACTGTCCATATGATTCACCTGGAAGTCCAGCCAAAATGCAGGTTCTGAGGATGCTCGGGCTGGGGTAGGGCCTGGGATCCCCGTTTCCTACTGGTGCCCAGGCAACACTGATGCTGCTCAGCTCATCAGCGGCAAGGTTTGCCGTGACTCTGGTGCACGTTAAAGTTTGAGAGCACTGCTCAGGCCAGTGGTTTCAAACGCCTTTTAGTTGTTCAGCGCCTTTTCATTTACTCCTCGGAGTGAAGTCTGTAGGCCTGTGTGTGTAAAACCGGCTTAAAGGACGCCATCGTGAAGGAAGCGGACTCAGCTTATCCCTCCTCTCACAGGTCCTCTCGGGCATTCATCGCCCCAAGCTGCTAACTGCTACACTGAGATAGAGTGGACATGGGCCAAGAGGTTCCGTGGGTTCAAGTCCTGGTCTTGCATTTATGAGTTATGTTACCTTGCACATATATATTTTTAAATATGTTTTAATTGATTTTAGAGAGAGGGGAAGGGAGAGGGAGAGAGAGAAACGTCGATTGGCTGCCTCTTGCACTCCGGTTGGTTACTTGGGATTGAGCTGCAGCCCAGGCATGTGCCCTAACCGGGAATCGAATTGACAACCTCTCGGTGCATGGAACAGCATTCAGCCACCTGAGCCGCATGCGCCAGGGCACCTTGCATATATTTTATCTTTAATCCCTTCGATAGGGATTAAAGATAGCCCAGCTGTGGGCTTCGCAGGGCTGATAGGACGCACATTTTGCTAACAGGTGGAAGTGCCTACACACCGAGGCACGGCAGTGCAAAGTAATTCTGTGATGACTTTAGTATTATTGAAGGCTAAACACTTAAGCAAAAGCAAAAAAAAACCCCATTACACTAGGCAAATGCAGAGGTTGTCTCATTTCCCGGTAGTCCTTGGGCTCCAGGAAGGAGAGAATGTGGGACCTAACAGGTTGGCCCCAGTCCTTCCCCAGCACCCAGGAAACCATCCCCACCTGCCTGCGTTCCCTGCTCAGCCCCTGCCAGTGAGCCGCGGGGCGAGAGCGTGGCCAGCTCCAGGATTCCCCAAGCTCCTGGGAGAGAGCACTGGGCTCAGGACGCGGGCGCAGGTCTCTCTGCCCTCTCATCCTCCTGTCTTGCTCAGGTCAGAGTGGACTGGGCAAGTCAACGCTGGTCAACACGCTCTTCAAGTCCCAAGTGAGCCGCAAGGCCTCCAGCTGGAACCGGGAGGAGAAGATCCCCAAGACAGTGGAGATCAAGGCGATTGGGCACGGTGAGGACCGGGTGGGGGCCCGCGGGCGTTGGCCAGAGGGGCCTCTGCCAGAAGGGGGAAGAACAGGGCTTATTGGGGAATGAGGCAAATGAAGGGCAACCTCAATACAGAATAAAGTTAAGCCCTAAACTCTACAGAGCCAACTCCTTAGACTGCAAGTCCAGAAGGAGCC